TTGCTCCTAGTAGCGATGCCCTTTGCTCTTAGTAGCGTCCTTGCTCCTAGCAAGATGAGGGCCACTTTGAGCATCATTTCAGGAAATGCTCAAACGCGTGCTGTTTGGAACAGGTGCCTTTGAGCTCTGCCAAAGGAAGACATGCGGTGTGTGACAGGCAAGATATCATGCATGGTTTCTTGCAGCATCTTGTTATTGTGATCCAGGATGGTCAAAGTCACCGCAAGCGTTTGATTGAAATGAAAGGCAAACAAACGTCATCGCTTGGATTCCCAAACTTTCATCCTGCCTCTTACACTTTCTAGCTCAAACGAACCTTTGGGACAAACATAGATGGCTTCGGCTTCTGCGGTAGAGCTGCCACATGGCTTGTGGGCCAATTTGTGGGAACACTTGGATACACTTGGATTCCTTTTCGTAACTCGGCAGTTGTTGGCAGTTCGCCTTGCACAACATAGTAACCACAGTGTGAGCAGATTCTGTCCAGGTACTGTCAGCCTTGCTGGGGGTTGGGTCTCTTTGATGTATTTGTCAGCTTTTACTTTACCACTCTGGCTTTCAGTGAGTATGCAAAGTCAATACGGTTGTAGAGTCAGAAGAGCATCACCACTTAGGCTGCTTGAGTTCTTTCAACAACTTGCACAAAGAAAGCGGAATGCCCAACTGGATGTCTCCCTTCCTGAGATTGCACTTGAGCAATTGATGCTTGGTTCCAGTTCTTTTTTGAAGAGGAACACATATAGTCACATGATTGTATATTATATATAATATATAAAATACACACAAACACTTGAGATCACTTGAGTGTGTTTGGAGAAAAGTCACTCCATGTCAGACAAGGAAAGCCTTTGACGGCATTCAGCTTCCAATGACATATTGCTCTGTCCGAGGCAGCGTCTCGGCTGAAGCATCATCTCCTGGTAGTTTCTTGTTCCTAGTAGTAGGGCCAGGAGCCCCTAGTAGCGTCCTTGCTCCTAGTAGCGATGCCCTTTGCTCCTAGTAGCGTCCTTTGCTCCTAGTGGCTATTGTACTTGTAGATCTCTTGTGGCCTAAATGTGCGGTTCAGGTGTATTCCTAGACTTATCATCCTCAGGAGTCTACGACGTCTCGAGCTCGGCAAACTTTCTACCTGGAGCAACTTATCATTTTCTGGCTGGTGCAGACGCAACTGTGGGGCTTGCAAAGATGCAGCTAGGCAAAAGTTGATGTATCGTTGATACTGACATAGTTCCCTACACTCATACAATATACTAAATGATATGATTCGGATGCGGCCTTTGTTGCTCAAAGAGGTCAAGAGATCAAAGCCTCGTTAACTCCATGCAGTTCGAAGACCTCACCGAGTACGAGTGGAGAGTTCCTCGCCGATATTTAAACTGTGAAGATGTCGACAGTCGGAACTGAAGGCTTCACACTGCTGAGGCAGTAGCGGCTTGGGTCGACCACATGAATGCAAAATACACTTGTGTTGGCATGCTGAAGGAGCTACCTTGCATTTGTTTGTGGATATAATTTGTTTCTGACTGGCCAACTTTGACTGATGTTTGCCGTGGTGTCATCAGGAGTATCAAGACTTTGCGAAGACGAAGGAAAAGACGTGAGCAAATTCTTGCTGATGTTTCTGAATCTTTAAATATGTTTAAAGTCTACAGCATGATTCCAATTGATGTGCCTGTACATGTTAGTAATCTGCTGTCTCTCATACTCTCGCAGAGCCATGGTCGCAGGATCTCCTCACATGTGTTGATGCTCTTTGTATGTGTGCTGGCATTTACAAAGTAGCGTGTGATTTGCTCAGACTTTTTGGTGTACAGTTTGCCACGGAGACACTGGCTGTTGCGGGTATTAGTTTGAGAATTCCAGCAATGCAGCTGACATCTGGGTGATTCCAAGAATCAGCCAATTTGCGCTGCAATGCTTCTTTCATTTCCATAGTTCCCTTGAGAAGATTCTGGAGAAAGAAAGCTCAGGGACTCATGGGACTCATGGGATGGGTAAGCAATGGGTTGGGGGCATTGCCGCCAGCTGGACAGCTTCATGTGTGATACAAACTTGGCAAACAAGTCAAGTCCCTCTGATTTCTCCACAACCAACATGAGGGCTCTACTCCCACCAAGTAAACAAGCACGCAATAGGAAGTGGGCATAGGCTCAGGCTAAGCTGCAGGGGAGGTCGAGTGTAGTGTAGGTCCACATTTAGAAACCACACCCGAGACCTGTTTGATTCAATGATTCCATCTCATTATTGGTTTTCCTGGATATGTTGTCGAATTGCTCCGAAAGATCAGCTGATCATGGCAGAATTCTTGGCTTAACGGACCCACAGAACTTAGACCTTGACGTTGGACATCTTCATGCGGCAGCCACATCGCTTTCTTTTGATCGTTTGTATTCTTTGCCTTGGTTGTCGTGATTGGCTATGGATTGGTGGATCAGAAAGAAATTCTGGGCGAATTGTTTCTCACACTAAGATGACGATTTTTCCTCCTTGGAACGCCAAATTTGAGGAGAATTGGAAACTTCCAGAAGGCGCTGTTTCGGGATCTCTCCTGCGGACTGATGCTGGTTCGTATCTGGCAGTACTGGAATGGGATTCAGATCTGGCCTGCAAAAGATGGATTGCTTTAGAAGAACTCTTGCGGGAAAACACCGTGATTTTCCGCAGTGTCAGTTCTGAGAACCCAGCTACGGATAAGCGTCAGTTTTCTGCGGGAAGACCAGTTGGCACAAGATCCAGCACCCGACTCTCCGATGAGCCTCCCGATGTCGACCCTGCAATTCTTTTCGCAATTTCAGCCGGGGAAGACGTAGACATAGATTTGGAAGATGAAGTAATCATATCTGGTGGAGATCCAAGCTTTCTGGACGATGAGAAATGGCCAAGTAATCCAATGGATGAAGAAGATGAGTCTGAGTCTGACCTTGAAGATGACATTGCTTTATCAGGTGGAGATCCAAGCTTTCTGGATGACCAGTCTTGGGGGAAAGATCTTGGAGATGAAGAGTCCGACTCTGACTTGGAGGACGACATCACCGTCTCTGGCGGAGATCCAAGCTTTCTTGAGGAATGGAACACAGGAGACAAGAATCAGAAGAAATAGATAGCGATCACCAACGTTCGCATTGATTATATAGTTTGTAAATACTTTGCATTTACTGTGACGTTGCTGAAATCAAGCGACGTGCCAAGCATGGCTAAGAAGGGATGCCGGGCTTGCGTCCGGGAAAGGCTGCAGATTTGGTGCCGGAAAAGTGGCGTGGCCTGGCAAGACATCTTTTTACTGTAGTTACTGTATGCTTGCAGCTGCTTGCAGCTATTGTTGTGGATGGTGACATTTGTTGGTCAGGCTGACATTTCGGCAGTTCCCACTGGCATGAAGTGAGACGCTCCTTATACTTTAACTCTGATCGTAGTGTAGCTTTGACTACAATGAATTCAATTGGCGGATTGCAGCAATGGGCTTTAATGCAATGCAATTGTACTGTGGCTTAGTTTGTGTGTGTGATAATCAATCCGTCCAGCGAGCGTGCTACTGTTAGCAGCCAGAATCGCCTTAGTTTCAATGGTTGGGGGCGGCAAAGAACTGCAAAAGGGACGCTTCCATGCACTTCGATGCACTTCGACTGCGCTCTTGACATGCGGCTTTTGCTGCATAACTTTGCAGCATGTGTGAGGTCGCAGAACCATGCAATCACTTTGGTACGATGCTCATCAGTCTTTGTGGGTATACGGTCCATGACTTTTGAGTGTGATGTCACTTCATCTTGCCAATGCTTGCTTGTTTCAGGAAATGTGTCTTACTTGCTGTCCCAGGAGAGGAAACGAAGGCTATGCCATGCAGCAATCCTTACCTTGCAGTAGACATTGACATTGTGTGCAGAAGAAACGTCGTTGTTACCTTGTCGCGGTGGTTGGTTGAAAGTCGGAATGGCTATGTAGATTTCCTGCCGTCCCCTCAATCAACTGAGGATATGCAGCGACCTGGATTCTCTGACACATGGGTAAACAAATCCAATATAATCTGACAACACTGACAACAGCTTACAAGTTCAGATCGTTGCCTTTAGACATCGAGTTTAAAGAAGCATGAAGGAGCAGGTTTGCATGTTTTCCTTCAGGAGTATGAGGCATGGCTGCGGGAAACCATTGCTGATGCACCCAAGATCTCAGTTGTGGAGACGCGCGGGAAGTGTTTCAAGTGTTTTGTCATGGAAGCAGATTAAACTTTACAGAATGTGTATGAACTTGTGGAAGGCCGTCGCTATTAGGTTGGAGGCCATCGCTGCTAGGTTGGAGGCCATCGCTATTTGGTTGGAGGCCATTGCTATTAGGTTGGAGGCCATCGCTAGTAGGTTGGAGGCCATCGCTACTAGGTTGGAGGCCGTTGCTATTAGGTTGGAGGCCATCGCTATTTGGTTGGAGGCCGTTGTTATTTACACCCTGCGGGTTGTTCCGCCGGCCTTTTCAGCCAATGGTCCCAAGATGCGGATTACCTTTTGCGTCAAGAGGAAAGACTGCAACAGAGCAGAAAAAGTAACAGCATCATCCAGAACACAGCTGGAGCAACAGAGGAGCCTACATGAAATGACGTGCATTATGATACAATAAAGAGAACAGGGAGATGAAATTGGGAGATGCAAAGTATAGCCTGCCAAGCAAGAAGACAAATTATATGACATGTGACACAATGAGCGAAGTAGACCGTGCGAAGCAGCAAACGTACATAGCATTCCGTGAGACATGATACAAGAGAGTAATGAGGAGAGGACATGTGTGGCATGGGGATTTCCAAGCAGTCTGAGTCGGCAAAAAACGATAGATACGTGAGTGCAGGTGCAAAGCCTGAGAAAAACGCATGCAAGCAGAAGCGCAATGCGTGGACAACGACAAGAGAAGGATGCGCACACAACCTTTCACTTTAGCTATGATATGTGTGAACTACATACATTCGGGATGTTCTTGGGGGGGAGGGGGGGAGGGGGGGGGTCAAGTTAGACGAGGCAAAAACTTGCTCCAGAGGCACTTTTCTTATTACATATAGACTCAACATAACTTAAGCTACATACAAGCCACATTGATAAAACACGCCGGCGCCCAAGGGCCGGCGGAGTAGGTTGGAGGCCATCGCTAGTAGGTTGGAGGCCATTGCTATTAGGTTGGAGGCCATCGCTAGTAGGTTGGAGGCCATCGCTACTAGATTGGAGGCCATCACGATTAGGTTGGAGGCCGCTGTTATTAGGTTGGAGGCCATCGCCATTGGGTTGGAGGCCATCCCTATTAGGAAGCTTCCTTGAAGAAACATGAGCTATTCTGCATCCATACTAGTAGTTACTTATTAAGCTACTAGCGACTCCCTACTTGTAGACACTACTAACTATCTCCAGCTAGCTGCTACCACTTCTGCTAGCGGCCTACTCCCCCCCCAAAAAGACAACTTTCAGAATCAGTGAAAGGAGCTGAAGCAGAAGGTCCCCCACAAGGTTGGGACACAGATGCCGGCATCTAAGAGCCAGTAACAGCAAGTCGTCGGGCAGCACGTGTGAGGCCTTCACCGATTGATGTGCGACACGCTCCACAAATGTAATAAAGAAAACAACATGTTGTTTTTTTTTTTGAACCGCCTTTTGCCTTGTTTTTAAACAGTAAGTGTGCGAGCTGAGGCCTTCGCTGCTACATGTAGTTCCATTCCTGCCAGAATCAAAGATTTGTTGGGTCGAAGGTAGAAAGGACATGTCAAATTAGACTGTGCCAGAGGGTTGCGAGGAGAATGAAACAGAACAGCTGGATGGTCACGCTGTTTTCACCATTTGTCACACTGTTTTCACCATTTCCACTTTGCCTCTTCTACCGAAGCACTTCTGGCTGCATAGATTTGACCTCAAGACGAAGAGAACTGGCGTGCCGCTTATTCTTTCTTCAGGCGTGAAGAATTTAATGGCCTTGCAGAGGCTGCTGGTTTGCTGCCCAGGCGCAGAGAAAAGATCCCCAAGGATTTCCAGCCTTTTTAGGAGTTGCATTCCCCAGTCGTGTCTTTCCATATGCATATATATATATAGATTATATAGACTGATCTTGAGTTGTAGCATCGATTTAGTGCTTCAGTGCTTCGCTAGGTGATACTAGTAGCATTCAGCATTTCACTAGCCGAAAACTAACAGATCGGGCAACTCATGCATACCCTGGGTTTCTGAATTTATAAGTCCTTGTCAAGAGTTGGGAGTGCACAGGCTTGACTTCCCATGGTACCTGTTTGCATGTCTTCCGTGATGTTGAGGAACACCAAGGGCTCCATCCCAGCAGATCTGCGTTCCGAGCACTATGGTGTTATGGTGCCAACCTAAAGATGCCGAGGGTTGAATGCGGCTTCATCCAAATCGTGCTGTTGAGGCGGGGAAGTTGGTGAATCAGCAGCTCGACTGATATTTGGTCACACTTTGCACAATTCAATGCTTCAAAAATGATCCTATTTCCTCGCAAAAGGAGGATCCCGTTGCTGCTCGTAGACAAGAGGACAATCCTTGGCACAATTTGCAAGCTACAAGGGAGCCGCTTGGAACCTTTTTGATGTTTTTTGAATCTTGACTCTTGACAGCCCCAAATGTCACCAGGAGCTCTCGAGGCTACCTGCACCGGGAGGATCAACTAAGGCCAGGTTTTTAGCGCTTTCGAACTGTGGGAGTCCAATATCAGATTCAACAAAAAGCTGGCGATGGCCTCCAACCTAGTAGCGATGGCCTCCAACCTAGTAGCGATGGCCTCCAACCAAATAGCGATGGCCTCCAA